CAGGTAGCACAGCTAACACAGCTAACACAGGTAGCACAGCTAACACAGCTAACACAGGTAGCACAGCTACACAGCTAACAGAGCTAACACAGGTAGCACAGCTAACACAGCTAACACAGCTAACAGAGCTAACAGAGCTAACACAGGTCGCACAGCTAACACAGCTAACACAGCTAACAGAGCTAACACAGGTAGCACAGCTAACAGAGCTAACACAGGTCNATGTTGTGTGTGTGTTCTCCTCATGTTGTGTGTGTGTTCTCATGTTGTGTGTGTGTTCTCCTCATGTTGTGTGTGTGTTCTCCTCATGTTGTGTGCAGTTTGTGTGTCCTCCTCGTGTTGTGTGCAGTTTTTATGTCCTCCTCGTGTTGTGTGCGGTTTGTATGTCCTCCTCGTGTTGTGTGCAGTTTGTATGTCCATTAATGTAGTTACATTAATGTAGTTACATTAATGTAACTACATTAATGTAACTACATTAAAGTAGTTACATTGAAGTAGTTACATTAAAGTATTTACATTAAAGTATTTACAGACCCACAGCTGTAGTTAAAACCAAGAGTTGACTTGACGTAGCTCGTACTCACATGCTGTATTTCTTGTTGGCTGGCTCGGTAGTTTTTCTTTGTTAAATTATCCACCAAATAGCTGATTTGAGACAAGGCCAGCGAGAGCGAGTCAAGATTCATTGCTGGTTGGGGCGGAAGCAGGCGGCCGAGCACGGCGCAAAATCACCATTATTCCCCTTTAGTCACTTCAGTGATAAGTCACTTTTGCTCCCCTCCCCCCCCAAAAGGTGTCACAATTATAGGCTTCCAAGTGTGTGGTGCAGTCTGGTTCCCAGGGCTCCCAGTAGATGGTCCTTCAGATTAAAATTAAAGGTAGCGTCTGGAATAAAAACAGACAATACATTTAATTATTTGACACACATGCAAATCTATTTAAAGACTATTTCTTAGTAAATTGACTCAATTTTAATAAAGTCAATATTTCCTTTTCATAAACAACATTAACTGTGAGGCCTACTTCAACTGCAAAGTTATTTTTTCACATTTGTCTCAATTATTGATGTAATTATGTTTTCAGTATAAGGTTGAGTCAGTTTTCAACAACTTTATTTTTCTTTTATTAATTAATGAAAACCATTACAACACTATCAAAATGTTTAGTTGACAAAAGAAAACGTGTTTCAACTCTTTACACACAGTTCAACTGAAGACCATATTAATGGTAACGCTAGCCGATTAGCAAAACATTGTTAACTTTAGTTTAATTGTTAATCGTATCTGTTCAGCAACTGATACTAATTTTTACTGTGTTCAAACTCAGTCCTAATTAATGACATTAACCTGGTTCTGACAGGGAATTAACGCTTAGCCAACTCAGCTGGGGCCGCACTGCTAACACAGCTAACAGAGGTAGCACAGCTAACAGAGCTAACACAGGTAGCACAGCTAACAGAGCTAACACAGCTAACACAGGTCGCACAGCTAACACAGGTCGCACTGCTAACACAGCTAACACAGGTAGCACAGCTAACAGAGCTAACACAGCTAACACAGGTCGCACAGCTAACACAGGTCGCATAGCTAGCACAGCTAACACAGCTAGCACAGCTAACACAGGTCGCACAGCTAACACAGGTCGCACAGCTAACACAGGTCGCACAGCTAACACAGGTCGCACA